TGATTGTCGGCTGAATTATTGCTGGGTGAGGTGAATATCAAGGAACTCTCTCAGTTCTGCTGACAGTTCCTAGAACTGGGCTAGGTTCCTTCAAGGTACCTACTAGGTACCTGACACAGTATCTTAAGGAACTGATGAATTCATATAGAAGGTGATGTATGATTGTCGGCTGAATTATTGCTGGGTGAGGTGAATATCAAGGAACTCTCTCAGTTCTGCTGACAGTTCCTAGAACTGGGCTAGGTTCCTTCAAGGTACCTACTAGGTACCTGACACAGTACCTTAAGCAACTGGCACACTAACACCGATACTTATATATGATTGCTTGCAGAATCATTCCGGTATGAGGCGAAAATCAAGGAACTATCTCAGTTCTGCTGATAGTTCCTGGAACTGAGCTAGGTTCCTTCAAGGTACCTAGTAGGTACCTAACACAGTACCTTTAGGGACTGATGATGTGATAAACATAGTGATGTGTGATGTTAATGCGCTGCTGTGTGTAATAAGTTGATTTTGAGCGATTATGGGAAGTGCGGTTAGGTGTAGGATGTAGCGATGATGTTTTGAAGTGAGAGGTAGCTTGAGTGTGGCTTTTTGTTTGTGTGCTTGATAGATTATTTCACAAGTTTATGTTTATGTAGAATTAGTGGAGTTATCGTGTTTTTGTTTCGATTCATCATTTTTTTTGTTAATGTAACGAAGAGAAAAAGAAGTAAAAGTGACATAGAAAGAACAGTTTGTGTTCAAATAGATGTGAAGAGTTTCTTAGAATCTGTCATCATATGTTGATTGTTGTGCATATGTGTGATTCATGTGATTGTAGTTTTGGTGGGCGTGGTTTGTATGACAGTAGGTGGGCGAAGGAGGTGTTTCACGTCTCGCTTGGTAAAATCGAATCGGAATGGATCGGTGATCGTTGGTTCGATAGATGCAATTGTGTCATCGTCAACTTGATGATAAAGATCTGCTGATTGAGCTGAGTGGACTACTGTGGAATGATTGATTGGTGCTTGACTCGGTTGACTATTTTTGTCAGGAGAAGGATTGGTTTGATTAGCGAAGTTGTCGTCGTCGTCTCTGTCGGGATTGTTGGTGTCATCGTTATTGGCTAATGATGGAAAAATTGGTTGTGGAACATCACTTGGCTCGCCTTGGCTGTTCGGGATAGGATGAGGTGGACTGATAATATCGGGTGTTAGTTGAATCGAAGAGTGAGATTCTATTCGCTTGGAGAGTGATGCTGTGTCTAGATCGTTGTTATTAACTGGACTTTCAATGCTGGGTAACGTGCTCGGTGTTGCTTTTTTGCTTCGTGGCTGTTTCGCTTTTCTTGCTCTTTTAATGGGTTTAGGTGAGGGAGATTCTGGAAACGATTGCTCCGCTGAGGTGTCTTCGGAGCTGTTTGTACTTTTCGGATTACAGATTTCAGCATTTTTTCTTGCCAGTGTATTGGACGATGCTGCGTTGCATTTTGACTGTTGTCGCTTTGGAGGCATCTAAAATTGGAGCATAATAAGTAGATATCAATGAGANCGGCGGCTTGGAAGAATTGTTGGTTAGCAGCTCCATTAACAAACGTTGGGTCTTCAAGAATAAGATCATGGCATACTACCGCTGCCATTTCTAGGCCTTGTAATAAGGCACATAATCGAAGTGAGTGATCTCTGCTTTTTCCAAATCGTGTACTCAGCCACGGTGCATTTCGTTCGTGCTGTTTCACTAAAAAAAGTAAGTGAAATACGGTTATTTGAAGAAAAAAGAAGATTTCACTACTTACTGGCGAAGGTCAATGAATCGCCATATAAAGCATACAGATTCTCAGCATCATTGTCGAAGTAAAAATCAATATCATGTCTAGGAATAAGTAATCAGCATTTAAATTATATTAATGAAAAATCAAAACTAAAAGTAATCGACTTCTTCTTTCTTTCTGTTAAAAAAGAAAACTAAGCACAAATTATCGCATGTGTGCTGTTCGACGAGATACATTATTCTTAATACCACCTAGGACTCTTTTGTATTTACAACATATCGAATTAAAGTATTCATTCCTATTTTTGAACGAGATTGTTAAATAATCAAAGTACATCGAGATGATTTGCAGAATATTCTTCTCTTTTTCAAGTAAACAGTATCTCATCTATCGACATATGCTCCAGGAATCATTTCTATCTCTTCTACATGCATTTTAGCTCGACAGCACCTCGTGCATAAATATATTCTGATCGGACTGATGTCGGTATACTCACATCTGACCAAGAACCATGACAAATTGAGATAATGATGCCATTTTATGAACTGTCGCCGTTGAACGTTGGAAAGAATACTTTGGTTTTGTTTCTGCATATAGAATAGTAAATCTTTCAAGCATAGGGCAAGTCTGGCCTCCGCTAAAGCGACGGGCTAACATTCGAATGATTGGCTCACTAGTACTAAGACAACTAATAGTCAGCCGGCCGATATTAGCAGCCAAGGAGCCTGATTTAAGTTCTTTATTGAACGTTCGAATGGAACCCTGAAACAGTAAACAAGAATGAGCTTTATGCAACTTCATCATAAATAAAAATCAATATTTACATAATACGACAGGACGAAGTTATGTAAATCATACGTTGATGATGTTGTTGTATTTTCATCAACAATGAGCCCATTATTTTTCAAAATATTTTCACCCTCATCGCTGAAGATCATTTTATCTCCATTCACAAGCCCTGCTTGAAGTCCGGCAGCACTTGTTTCGTCGACAAATGCATCGAAGCCCTCAANTGAGCTAGGTTCCTTCAAGGTACCTAGTTGGTACCTGACACAGTAGCTTAAGGAACTCACGAATTCACACAGATACTGATATATGATTGCTTGCAGAATTATTCCTGGATGAGGTGAAAATCAAGGAACTGTCTCAGTTCTGCTGATCGTTCCCAGAACTGAGCTAGGTTCCTTCAAGGTACCAAGTTGGTACCTGACACAGTAGCTTAAGGAACTGATGAATTCATATAGAAGGTGATGTATGATTGCTTGCAGAATTATTCCTGGATAAGGGGAAAGTCAAGGAACTGTCTCAGTTCTGCTGATAGTTCCCAGAACTGAGCTAGGTTCCTTCAAGGTACCTAGTTGGTACCTGACACAGTAGCTTAAGGAACTCACGAATTCACACAGATACTGATATATGATTGCTTGCAGAATTATTCCTGGATGAGGTGAAAATCAAGGAACTGTCTCAGTTCTGCTGATCGTTCCCAGAACTGAGCTAGGTTCCTTCAAGGTACCTAGTTGGTACCTGACACAGTGCCTTAAGGAACTGGCACACTCACAAAGATACTTATATATGATTGCCTGCAGAATGATTCCTGGATGAGGTGAAAATCAAGGAACTGTCTCAGTTCTGCTAATAGTTCCCAGAACTGAGCTAGGTTCCTTCAAGGTACCTAGTAGGTTCCTAACACAGTAGCTTAAGGAACTGACGAATTCACACAGATACTTATATATGATTGCTTGCAGAATTATTCCTGGATGAGGTGAAAATCAAGGAACTGTCTCAGTTCTGCTAATAGTTCCCAGAACTGAGCTAGGTTCCTTCAAGGTACCTAGTAGGTACCTAACACAGTGCCTTAAGGAACTGATGATGTTATAAACATAGTGATGTATGATGTTAATACGTTGCTGTGTGTAATAAGTTGATTTTAGACGATTATGGGAAGTGCGGTTAGGTGTAGGATGTAGCAATGATGTTTTGAAGTGAAAGGTAGCTTTGGTGTGGCTTTTTGGTTGTGTGCGTGATAGATTATTTCGCAAGTTTTTGTTCATGTAGAATTAGTGGAGTTATCGTGTTTTTGTTTCGATTCATCATTTTTTTTGTTAATGTAACGAAGAGAGAAAGAAGTAAAAGTGACATAGAAAGAACAGTTTGTGTTCAAATAGATGTGAAGAGTTTCTTAGAATTTGTCATCATATGTTGTTTGTTGTGCATATGTGTGATTCATGTGATTGTAGTTTTGGTGGGCGTGGTTTGTATGACAGTAGGTGGGCGAAGGAGATGTTTCACGTCTCGCTTGGTAAAATCGAATCGGAACGGATCGGTGATCGTTGGTTCGATAGATGCAATTGTGTCATCGTCGACTTGATGATAAAGATTTGCTGTTTGAGCTGAGTGGATTACTGTGGAATGATTGATTGGTGCTTGACTCGGTTGACTATTTTTGTCAGGAGAAGGATTGGTTTGATTAGCGAAGTTGTCGTTGTCGTCTCTGTCGGGATTGTTGGTGTCATCGTTATTGGCTAATGATGGAAAAATTGGTTGTGGAACATCACTTGGTTCGCCTTGGCTGTTCGGGATAGGATGAGGTGGACTGATAATATCGGGTGTTGGTTGAATCGAAGAGTGAGATTCTATTCGTTTGGAGAGTGATGCTGTGTCTAGATCGTTGTTATTAACTGGACTTTCAATGCTGGGTAACGTGCTCGGTGTTGCTTTTTTGCGTCGTGGCTGTTTCGCTTTTCTTGCTCTTTTAATGGGTTTAGGTGAGGGAGATTCTGGAAACGATTGCTCCGCTGAGGTGTCTTCGGAGCTGTTTGTACTTTTCGGATTGCAGATTTCAGCATTTTTTCTTGCCAGTGTATTGGACGATGCTGCGTTGCATTTTGACTGTTGTCGCTTTGGAGGCATCTAAAATTGGAGCATAATAAGTAGATATCAATGAGAAGCAATATTTCTTTCTTTTATTCGAATGTTTTCTTTGAAAAGGAACGATCAAAATATACAACACATGATAATGAGTAAGAAAGCAAAGGAGAAAACTCAAAGAAGTGTATTTCACATATAGTCGATAATAATAAAATACGAAGAATTTATGTATCAGTATCTAATTAAATGATAAGAGGCCGTGATTTTGTTACAATTGGCTTCGCGATGTTAAAGACGTGTGGGTTGATATTTTTCAAATAGCAGTTTCGAAGATGGAATGTTATGAGCAACATCAGTCTACAACGAGACTGGTTCATTTGAGTAAAAGCTGGAGCATAGCCATTGCTCCAACTGAAGAGCTGTTCACAAGATTCTGTGTTGACATTATTTAGCAATGGATTGTCGTCTGGATCGAGATACTTTCGGCACCACGTATCCTTGTGATTTTTCAAGTGTAATCTGTCGATATTATATGTCTTTCGGTTTAAATAATTGATCGCAGGTGTGATACAAAATTCGTTTCTTGTTTGTCCGTCAATTAATCGCCGAATTAGATGGCAAGCGTCGTCATATATAATCGATGGAGGTAGAGTTGGTGATATGTTCACGATGTTTATTAATCCGTTCAATATTTCTTTGATGGTTTCCGAACGGAAAATTTCATTGAAAGCAACAGCCACATTACAGTTGGTTACGTAAACGATGAAACCGAAAGATCTCAAACATTGTTTCACGTACTCTTCAGGCTTTTCTTTCAATGTAGAGCAGCTGATAGATTCGTGTTCAATGGAAGCTTGCTGAGAACGTGTATTTCCTTTACGAAATTTCGACTTGTTTTTTGATTTTGACGCTCGAATTCGATTATTCGTCAAATATTTGGCAGTCGTAGGTCGTCGAGATCGTGCTTCGCGTAAGTGTTGGGTGCAATACAGTGATTTGTAGGCTGGAGTTCGATCACAACCAACCACAATCGTTGTCATTTCATCCGTGGTTATCGTCTTTGTTTTGTCAAAGCAAATTCGTCTTCTTAATTTTTGGTTACCATCGACAACAAGTGCTTTGGAACAATACGAACCACACGATTTGTATTCTGAGTGATTTAACCAGAATTTGACAAACAGGACATATAATGAATCAAATATGTTATAAAAGAAGGAATCATTCTGCGTTCGGTCCATGGTTAGCGGCTAAATGAAATAAACTTGAATGAATAATGAGATAAAAATCGTAGAAAAGAATTCAGAATGAGTGTTGGACAGCAATAAGAGTAATCATTGTCATTGTCTACCATTATGTGATATTATCTAATCTAGTTAGCTTTGGATATTTGCTTGTCAGAAATTAAATAGATATTCTCATTGGTTAACAAGACATGAAAGGTAAGTACAACAATGAACGATCTTTCTCTGGATTCCAGGGATCGTACTCCAGAAGTTTTATTGTTTAAAATATAAAGCAAAGTTCATACCAGCAAGATTTCTTCATAGCCCATGAAAAATGCCAAATTAACTAGTTCGTACATGATCCAAATTTGAGAAAAAAGTCGACGCTCAACAAATCGTTCTGTATCGTATTCATATTTGTGCAGTAAGTTGTAGGCTTCAGTAAAACCTTGAAAATTTGTGTGCGAAGTTACGAGAAGTGTTTCGAATTGTGTCAAGATTTTCTTCGAAAACACACTATCACCACCGATATAAAAATAATCGGTATATTCAAGGGATTTCTTGCTAACAATTTTTCCGTGCAACGATTCAATAAAGTTGGGATAAAGTTTTCTCGGTGCTTGTTTGAACTTTTCTGTACCAGTATGGTCACAATAATAGTAACAAATCAACCCTTTGCTGATTTTTCCATCGAATTGATAAATCGAGACTGATTTAGAGAATAGCTGAGAATAACATTTACCGCAATCCGTACAACATTTTTCAGCGGCAGGAATAATCACATTGTTGATTAACGTGCATAACTGATTTGCTTCGGCATAAGTCTGAAAGAGAGAAAAGATCACTTCGATATCTTCATCAAGCTGAGTAAAAATGACTTTCTTTATATAAATGATCTCATATTTATGCAATAAAGATTTTCGAAGACTATTTCAACTCTTTCATAGAAAAATAAAATATGCATTCATTATATCGCTGAGGTTTGCACACGATTATGCATGATTGAAATAGAAAGAAACGACCGATATCTATTAGTACTTACGTCCACAATTTTCTGAACATTACGATAGATATTGAGTCTTGGTAGAAAGCCGTGTTGAAACATGCTTAAAATGTATTGAATACTGTTTTCGTCAATTAGACGCCCAAACGTATTTGAACAAATATTTGCAATGTGCATACATCTACTGGGAGTTAACTGGTGAAACGAACTGTTAACTTGTTCAATGAAAGCGAGTTCGGATAAATTGAATAACTCTTCAATCACAGTAAAAAGCGTTGACTGCTGTGGTCGAGTGAACATATCGTATTGATAGCTAGTTGTTCGTTCAATCTTTGTATTAGGATTTATATCTGAAACAAAGACAATGAATATGATCGAAATCAAACCTAAGGAACAACACTTTATACGCATTTTATTTGCTTTTTCATTGGACAGGTATAGTTTCGAGTCAGAAGTATATAGGTTTTATTTCATTCCCAACCATCTGTTTACTGAATTTCAATATATCACAAATTCTCGTCTGTCAACATTCAACAAAAAAGGAAAAATGAACATAACTGAAGTAACGAGTACGAAACGTGAAAGAAACAAACAAAAGTGAAGAACATGTATCAATATGGAACACGGGAATAACGAAGTTTGTAATCATATTAAGTTTTCCTGGGTTTGTCTATATCTAAATACACTGAGATCATCCCCGTAAGTCAGAGAACCGATTGTGAAAAGGAGAATTGGATCATGACTGTAACGAATAAATGACAAGTTCGAGTGCGAAAAACAAACAGAAAAATTTAGCAAACAAACACGTATTTTATACTAAAGTCTTCGCCAAAAATATTTGAATATTATTTCAAGAACAGAAATAACGGTTGAATGCAGCAACTGCTCATCTAAAAGCAAGATAGAACGAATTGACTGGAGCAGGTAATATCATGAAATCTTTATGTTACGACTAGCGACTGATCTCTCTCTACCTACTTATTTTTTTTCTTTTTTAGAAGCGGTTGTCGTGTCAACATCAAATTCGTTCCTGTTGGTAAATTACTAGCTGGCAATAATGGAAGTGATTGATGCTCTATTTCCAGTGGCAAGCTACGTTTTTGGCTTTGCTGTGAGTTTTCTTGCTGAATCATTTCGCTTTCATCACCGGTATTTAAATCGTTGATTGTTTTGGGAATTCGCTGTTGTCTGTGGCTGCTTGTGTTAGCATGTGCAACCGAAGCCTTTTTTTCATTTTCAGTGTCAGTAGAATTGTCTGCATTGCTACCAGTTGAACTGTTATCAGAAGAATGAATCGTTCTATTCGGTATCTTTGAGGAGAGAGAAACTGCTTTTAAGAGGGTTCTTTATGTGCAGAATGTTCACTTACCATATCTTCGGGCAAATGAGTCGACGCGGCTGATAGCCGTATAGGCGGTGTAACCGATTGCACAACCTCAATATGACTGTCCGTATGACTGACACTAAAAAAATGTCAACTCTTTTTATGTCACCAATAGTGTAATGTCCATGAGAATAAATAATGCGTTTATTGATTAGGAAGACTTGAGTTCCTTACTGAATTACTGAATCTCAAGGGATTATTGAAACTAGTGAAGAGATATTGCTTCAAAACGAAGAGTTGTGATAAAAAAATCTCTCATTGAGAACTGATTTCTGTTTCAGAGACGATATTTACCAAACAGTAGAAGATGCTTGTTGACGAGATTTCGGTGCCCATTGCGCAATCGGAACAGTTATAAAAGTTGAATATGGTGCACCGGACAGTAAATCGTACACCTCTTCTGATAAAGTTATCGTTGGAGGTAAAGAAATGTTCCACCACGTAGCAAGATAATCTGAGTGTTCAATTCCAAAGCTTTTCAACAATTTCGATAGATCTGAATTTTCTTTCGCGTTTGCTGGTGAAGTCATCCTTTTGACATAGACGGGAACTACTCGATTTTTGTTAGATGACACAACACAACCGGAATCATAGGAAATCAAAAGTTCAGAATCGATCAAATACTGGAGTGCTGGATCAATAGATCGAATGTAATTCTTCAGAGTGGAATGCCGAGACAATATTGATTTAATTAATATGGCGGAATTGACATTAAGGATCATCTGGAGAATCTTTTTACAGCTTTCAGATGTTGGATCAAATAAAGCAACGACTTGCGATGCGACTTCATCTTCATGGTTTTTTTTCTTCGATGATTTCTGACCGCCATGCTTAATTGATGTTGAATGCAGTTGATCTTGAATATAATCGTCTTCTTGACCAACAACAGAGTGTTTGCCTTTTGTACCGGCTGCTTTCTGGTCCGTTGAATTACCTTCACTCATGAAAGATAGTTCTATTCGACTATAAAAACGAAAGGCAAATGGATCAACTTATCAAAATATGTGGTTAGTTAGATATGGAACTTGCTTTATTTCCCGTTTATTAGGTTCGAACATTTCTCGATATTGCTCAATCAGCTTGTTTGTTAAATAAATGGCTCCTTCAACGACTTCTATTCCAATGGACAAGCGCCTTTGATTTGAAGGTGATGGGAAGAAAAGTTCTTTCGTTTTTTTCACGGCGGCTTGGAAGAATTGTTGGTTAGCAGCTCCATTAACAAACGTTGGGTCTTCAAGAATAAGATCATGGCATACTACCGCTGCCATTTCTAGGCCTTGTAATAAGGCACATAATCGAAGTGAGTGATCTCTGCTTTTTCCAAATCGTGTACTCAGCCACGGTGCATTTCGTTCGTGCTGTTTCACTAAAAAAAAGCAAGTGAAATACGGTTATTTGAAGAAAAAAGAAGATTTCACTACTTACTAGCGAAGGTCAATGAATCGCCATATAAAGCATACAGATTCTCGGCATCATTGTCGAAGTAAAAATCAATATCATGTCTAGGAATAAATAAACAGCATTTAAATTATATTAATGAAAAATCAAACTAAAAGTAATCGACTTCTTATTCCTTTCTGTTAAAAAAGAAAACTACGCACAAATTATCACATGTGTGCTCTTCGACGAAATGCATTATTCTTAATACCACCTAGGGCTCTTTTGCATTTACGCCGTATCGAACTAAAGTACTCATTCCTATTCTTGAACAAAATTGTTTGATAATCAAAGTACCTCGAGATACTTTTCAGAGTATTCTTCTCTTTTTCAAGTAAACGATGTCTGATCTATCGACATATGCTCCAGAAATCATCTCTATCTCTTCTACATGCATTTTAGCCGAACAGAAACTCGTACATAAGTATATTCTGGTTGTATTGATGTCGATATACTCACATCTGACCAAGAACCATGACAAATTGAGATAATGATGCCATTTTATGTACTGTCACCGTTGAACGCTGGAAAGAATACTTTGGTTTTGTTTCTGCATATAGAATAGTAAATCGTTCAAGCATAGGGCAAGTTTGGCCACCGCTGAAACGACGGGCTAACATTCGAATGATTGGCTCACTAGTACTGAGACAACTAATAGTCAGCCGGCCAATATTAGCAGCCAAGGAACCTGATTTAAGTTCTTTATTGAACGTTCGAATTGAACCCTGAAACAACAAACAAGAATGAGCTTAATGCAACTTCACCATAAATAAAAATCAATATTTACATAATACGACAGGACGAAATTATGTAAATCATATGTTGATGATGTTGTTGTATTTTCATCAACAATGAGCCCATTATTTTTCAAAATATTTTCACCCTCATCGCTGAAGATCATTTTATCTCCATTCACAAGCCCTGCTTGAAGTCCGGCAGCACTTGTTTCGTCGACAAATGCATCGAAGCCCTCAAGAATTCCAGATTTTCGATGATTGTATTGCTCACCAGTTGTTCGAACGCTATACTCATTCATTACCGATGATTTAAGCAAAGTATGCAATGTTGATTTACCAAAAGCTGAAACAATTCGTAACAAAAATCAAGTACTAATTTCAAAATCTACGTTACCCGAAAGAGCTATTAACAATTGGTAGAAATGCGTTGGCGCCGGATTTTCGCATGCTTTGTATCGATATATATAAGAAGATTTTAAAAAGTATGACATAATACCAATTAATTCATAGGAATAACCCAAAAAGTCAATTTCATGATGCCTTGCATGCTGAAGTAACATATTATGCAAATAAGGCGATAGAACAAAACGCAGCTCCATCCGATGTTTCGTAATGATTGTATGAAATGCCCGATCAAAATGGTTAATTATCGATTCATCAAATTTCGATCGTTGCTTTGGCATCTCTGTGTTCAGACGAGTGAATTTTAGTTCAAAAGTTAGAGCTACAGCCAGACAGGCAAAATAATAATCGACCCTGTACGTTCAATACTGAAATGAAAACAATGAAACGATATACAGTCAACAAAGAAAATCACGAAAACAACTATGATGCAGTGCAACACTGAACCACATAACATAACCATCCTATATAACTTTCGCACCAAACAACACGGACTATATACATCATTCAACGCAACAGACGACCGCAAAAACACCGCAAAGCCAACCACCAATAAGATACCACTTAGAACCACAGCGTTTAGTCCCATGTCCACCACATTACACATTTATTGTACACTCACGTCATCTACAGACCGATGTTTTCACAATCCCATACTGCAAAACAGAGACCTATAATCTCACTTCTCTTCATAAGAATCACAGCAGTCACACCAGGCAATCCCTCCTTACCTACAAACCTTAGCTCAAAACATACTTCCTCTCCATACAAGAGAAATCGACACTTCACCCAAACCCCACAGTTCTATCATCTTTTTCAATGCCAAGGTGACATCTCTATCAACGCCCCCAAACCGTCCACACTACATATATTACCAACCTGATGCTTCAAACAAGTTTAAGCCCAAGACACATCTTCTCCATTTTCCCTATAGCCCGCAATAATTCTTCAAGCAATCATATATCAGTATCTGTGTGAATTCGTCAGTTCCTTAAGGTACCGTGTTAGGTAATGTGTTAGGTACCTTGAAGGAACCTAGCTCAGTTCTGGGAACTATCAGCAGAACTGAGACAGTTCCTTGATTTTCACCTCATCCAGGAATAATTTTGCAGGCAATCATATATCACCTTCTATATGAATTCATCAGTTCCTTAAGGTACTGTGTTAGGTACCTACTAGGTACCTTGAAGGAACCTAGCTCAGTTCTGGGAACTATCAGCAGAACTGAGACAGTTCCTTGATTTTCACCTCATCCAGGAATCATTCTGCAGGCAATCATATATCAGTATCTCTGTGAATTCGTCGGTTCCTTAAGGTACTGTGTTAGGTACCTACTAGGTACCTTGAAGGAACCTAGCTCAGTTCTGGGAACTATCAGCAGAACTGAGACAGTTCCTTGATTTTCACCTCATCCAGGAATCATTCTGCAGGCAATCATATATCAGTATCTCTGTGAATTCGTCGGTTCCTTAAGGTACTGTGTTAGGTACCTACTAGGTACCTTGAAGGAACCTAGCTCAGTTCTGGGAACTATCAGCAGAACTGAGACAGTTCCTTGATTTTCACCTCATCCAGGAATAATTTTGCAGGCAATCATATATCACCTTCTATATGA